CACACACAGACACACACAGACACACACAGACACACACAGACACACACAGATACACACAGACACACACAGGACCCACACAGACACACACAGACACACACACAGACACACACAGACACACACAGACACACACACAGACACAGACAGACACACACAGACACACAGACATACAGACACACAGACTCCCAGACACGCAGACACGCAGACACACAGACACACAGACACAAAGACACACAGACACGCCGACACGCAGACACGCAGACACCCAGACACACAGACACACAGACACACAGACACACAGACACACAGACACTCAGACACCCAGACACACACTCACACGTTCACACACTCACACACTCACACACTCACACACTCACACACACACACACACTCACGCACTCACAGACTCACACACTCACACACTCACACACTCACACACTCACACTCACACACCCACACACACAAACTCACACACCCACACACACACACACTCTCTACACTCGCACACCACACATGCACACATCATACACCCTACACCCACGTACGCACTCACAGGAGCACTGTCTCATTCGTTCACTCACACACTCATTTACTCCTTCACTCATTTACTCTTCTGCACCTTTGTGTTCTATACGAATGGATGATCTTCACATGTGGGGTTATCCGGTCCTTTAATTATTATAGTATTTATAATAATAATAATGATAATAATAATAATAATTATTATTATCATTATTATTATTGTTGTTATTATTACTATTATCATTATTGTTACTGTTATTATTTTTACTTTTATTATTATTGTTATTGTTATTATTATTATTATTAGTATTATTATTATGATTATGATTATTATGATTATGATTATGATTACTATTATTATGATTATTATTATGATGATTATTATGATTATTATTATTATGATTATTAATATTATGATTATTATTATTATTATTATTATTATTATAAAGATTATTTTTTTATTATTCTTATTATTATTGTGATTATTATGATTATTATTATGATTATTATGATTATTATTATTATTGTTATTATTATTACTATTATCATTATTATTGTTACTATTATTATTATTATTATTACTATTATTAATATTAATATTATTATTATTATTATTATTATGATTATTATTATTATGATTATGATTATTATTATGATGATTATGATTATGATTATGATGATTATGATGATTATGATGATTATGATGATTATGATGATTATGATTATTATGATTATGATGATTATGATTATTATGATTATACATTCATACCGCAAGCCTTGGCTCTCCGTTGATAAGGGCCCTTGGGCGAGAACTGCTCACTTTTCAACTACCTGACAGGGGTAGAGGAGTATGGACGCAGACACATATGCACATATACATATCTGTCGAAAAGACGCTATTCCTTGTGCGCGCCGGCTCACCTTGCAGGTATCTGACTGGAATTTCAAGTACTTGACCGGAGTAGCGGAGTATAGATGCATACACAAATGCACATATACATATCTGTTTTTTAATCCGTTATTCCTTGTAAGTGCCGGCTCACCTTTCAGGTGTCTGACCGGAGTAGAGGTATATACACGCATACACACAGGCACATCTACATATCTATTCTGTTTGCCGTTATTCCTTGTGTTGCTGCTGCTTTGTGCTTATTGACTTTCCTTATATATTTCTTCCCTTTGTTTCCTCGAGTTCTTGGTTGCTTGCTTGTTTGTTCGTTTGCTCGCGTTTTTGCCTTCTTCTTTTTTGGCGCCCTTGCCTTCTTCTTCCCTTCCTCCCTGCTTTCCTTTCCCCCCATTTCCTCCCTTTCTCTCGCTCTCCCTCTTCCTCTTTCCCTCTCCCTCGCCCTCGCCCTCGCCGCCTCTCCCTCTGCCTCTCCCTCTCCCTCTTCCCTCTTCCCTCTCCCCTCTCCCCTCTCCCATCTCCCCTCTCCCTCTCCCTCTCCCTCTCCTTCTCCCTCTCCCTCCCTGTCCTCCCTCCCCCTTCCACCCCTCCCTCCCTCCCTCCCTCCCCTCCCCCCTCCCTCCCTCCCTCCCTGCCCCCCCTTTCCCAAGAAAAGGTAAAAACAAAAAAAATTCCCCAAATAAAACAAAAAAAATTCCTCAAATAATTCCGGACCCTTCCGGAAAGGCCCGATACAGCCAAGCCCAAGCAAGGCCCACACCATTACGGAGGTCCTTCACCGCCTTGGTTCCCATCTCCCAGTCCAGCCGGGCTTCAGGCTCACACTGCATCACAAGCTTGTTCACCATGAGCTCAGCTTCACGACGTCGGAACTTCGTGGCTTCGGCTTCTGCAATGAGGTCCAAACCCAGCTGCTCCTCCAACTCAGGGCAGCCGTTGAAGATCCGAGCACACAAGTTCCCCCGCACAGGGTGAGTGATGTGGCACCCTTCGTCAGAGCTCCACACCACCCGGCAGCCGATCTCCATCAGGTCGCTCATGGCAAGGATCGGGGCAGTCGCCTTCTCAGTCAACAGCGTCCCGCCCGGAAGCTGGTAGAACACTGCCTCGCCCTCCGCCAACAACACTTTCCTCCGAGGCAAGCCTTGAAGTTCCCGCTCACCAGCAGATCTCATTGAGGTAGTCGCTCCTGAATCCACCAGAGCACGGCGAACCGCACCTTCACCAAGAGCGCTAACCCGGTCCAAAGTAGCTCGGGCCAACCTCAAGGACTTCAAAGCCTTCGCCGCCTCCTCGAAGAAGTCCTCACGGGCCGACTCGCCCGGCGTCGCCGAAGGCGCCGAGGTAGTGGTAGGCGCCGACGAAGCCGCCACCGCGGCTCCAACATCGCCCGCAGAGCCCTCCTCTGCTTTCCTCACTGCATCTTTGGCCTTGCCACCGCCCTTCTTCCTCGATCTTCGCGAAGGTTTATCCTCCCCAGCACCTTTCCCATCCGATGCCGCAGCCGAAGAAGTCGCAGTAGCCGAAGACGAATTTTGCGAACCACCTCCAGCCGTAGCCGCCGACGACGTAGTAGTAGGACCGCCCCCCCCTTGCCCATGCAATGGGCACTGCGGCTTGAGGTGGGAACTGCTCCCACATGTCCAGCAGCGACCTGGGCCCAGAGAGTCGTGGCGAAACATGCAGTTCTGGCCATACTTGCATCCTGAACCATCGGACCAGGCCCAGCATGGCTGTCGCGCTTTGCCCTTGGCCTTGCCCTTGCCCGCATCAGCAATCACAGTCTCCTCCATACGGTTGAGTTTGGGCTGGGAGGGCAATGGTTGCGCCAGCAAAGCGGCCTCCAACTCGCCAAGGATCAACTGCGCATAGTCCTCAACGTCCTTGGCGATGGCCTTGTAGTCCAACTGGCGTTCCAACTTGAAGCTGGCGATGCGAAAGGCCGCACTGGGGTGTTTGTTGCCCGCAAAGACGCCCCCATGCAGCTTATCCAAGCCACGGCACAAGAGGCTCGGATCCGGCAGCACGACCTGAAGTTCCTTGCCACGCCTCAAAAGTCGCACCCACTTCCTGGCCAACGACAAAGCCGTGTCGACTGAGTTTCCGGACTCCGGCGCCGTGAGGAACTGCAGCAAGTACGCCTTCTCGGCCGAACCACCAGGCTGAAAGGAGCAGTGGACGAGGAAAACCATCGCCTCAACCGTCACCGCCCTCACGCTCACCACTTCCGCTCGCAAGTCCTCCGGCAAGCTGTCAAGCAACAGCATGGAAGCCCTCTGCTCAACCCTCTGGTACTTGTCGAGAGCAGGCCGTTGCGCTAACACCTCCTGACGAATCTGAAGCCTCAGAATAGGCGTCGACTCCAACCACCGGGTGTACAGCACCCTCACTCTCTCCATCAAGGCCTGCCACCATGAAGCCGCAGAGCTGCTCAAACTCGACATGCTCGGCTCCAGCTGTGCCAGCCAGTCACCCGCCACAACCGCCGCGTCTTGGCCTTTCGTCGCCACTAGAGGCGGCAGCTTCATCACCAACTTGCTTGGCTCCTCCACTTCCGACGCGTGGTAGCCCGCCGCAGTCCCACCTCCATAACCCGGAGACGGAGTAGACGGCGGAGGGGGAGGCACCGGTCCTTCTGGAAGGAGTCCTCGGAGAGGTTGGCGGCATAGGCGGCGGCGGTGGTGGAGGAGGTCCAGGTACGCTCGTCGTTCCACCGGAGAGGTTGGCAGGAGTATACGTCGGGGCGGCCAAAAAGAGTCCAACCGCCGACGCACCTGCCGCCTCCATATTCTGGATAACCATCTGCCCCTGGACCATCACGTAGGGTCTCCACGCTCCCTCGGCATAGACCAAACCACTTGCCGGGGCCCCAATCACAAGGCCCTGCCCTCGCTGAGCTGGAAGACCTGGAGGAGCATCCTCCGTGACAACACCGCTCTCCGGAACCGGTCTGGAAGCTGCACTGTGGTACGCGGTACTACCACAGCTCTCGTCACGACGATAGCCCGATCCCACTCCCTGACCACTTTCATGGCTCAACTGAACTTCCCCAGAGGCCTCCATCGGCAACGCCAATGCCAAAGGGCCATCGGGTAGAGCCCCATCCACCTGCGGCGATGCTAAAGCATATCCCTGAGAAGCACTCGGAAGCTGTCCTGAAGGCAACGTGGATCCCTGAGATGCACTCGGAAGCTGCCCTGACTGTAACATGGATCCCTGAGACGCACTCGGAGGCTGCTCTGACTGCAACGTGGATCCCTGACATGCACATGACAGCGGCACCGACGGCAAAGCAGATCCCTGAGAAGTACTTAGAGGCTGTGCCGACGGCAAGGCGGATCCTGGAGGCGCACTCGGAGGCTGCGCCAACTGCAAGGCAGATCCCTGAGACGTACTCGGCAACTGTGCTCCTGACAAAGTGGATCCCTGGAGCGCTCTCTGAAGCTGCGATCCGGACAAAGCAGATCCCTGAGGCATACTCTGAAACTGTGTTCCCGACAAATCAAAGCAGATCCCTGAGGCATACTTTGAAGCTGCGTTCCCGACAAGGTGGATCGCTGAGACACACCTTGATGCTGACCTGGCTGCAAGACGAATCCCGAAGGCATACTCGAAAGCTGGCTAGACCGCAAGGTAGACCCCGGAGGCATACTCGGAAACGGTACTACCGGAAGACCGCCACTCGGATCCCCAGGTCGGCCAGCCAACACGACAGGTCCCAGAGGTTCCGCCAGCGGCCCCAGCAAAGCCCCTGGTACTCCTCTCGCATGGGCCTCTCCCTGCTCGGCTCGAGCTCTCGCCATCTCGGTATCATCCGAACTGAAGGTTCCGGCCATAATGCTTTCCAGGCTGGCCAGAGGACGGTCAGCAGGAGGATGAGTGGACCCTCCCAGATTCATCTGCGCCAGATGCTCATCCAAGCGGTTCAAATCCACCCATCCCAGCGCCCCGGCCTCGGGAGTACCGCCCATAGGAGTCTCCATCCTCGCCGAAGTCGCCGTGGTAGTCTGCCGCCCAGAAGCGCTGGACCCATTCCGGGATTGAGCTTGCTCCACTCTATCCATTCGACCCACCAAAGTCGTCACCAGCGAAGTCATGTACGCCAGCGAACGGGCCACCTGGCCCACATCTTCCGCCCTTCTCTCACGCGACGCCGGTCGCGACTGTAGTGCAGAGCCTTCCAGATCTCGCGGCGGATTTCCGCCCGCATCATCCACTGCACCATGGCCTGGCTCCACACTGTCGCTCAGAGCACCCGGGATCGGTCGCTGCCTACCAGAGGGAGGAACACCCGAATCTAGGTTCGGAGTCCCTCCATGGTTTCCGTGGCTTCCGTGCGCCGCCGAATGCCCTGAGGGTTCCTCATAGGTTGGCTCGCGAACTTCTTCATCAATGCGAACCTCTGGCCTCGCTTCGGCCTCCACTTCTTGAGCACCATCCTCCTCCATCGGCACGCCCTGGTCCTCAGGCTGAGCCACAGGCACCTCCTCCGGACCTGCCTCGGCCCCGTCCGCGGCCATGGCGCACCAACGGCTTACAACTCCTTTACCGGAGCGGCGTTGGGCTCATAACCCCCGAATGCGGAGGTTACGCTTGTTTTGGAACCGAAAAGCCTTTCAGATCGGACATGTTGCACTGCTTTACATATGCGGAACATCCCTCTTTCCCAGTCACAGTTTTAATGTGGTGGCCCGTCTAGTGGGGGGCGCCCCCCCCCCCGACCAAAACCGTTTGGCTTGAATAAGGGGTGTCCGGCCGGGACTGGGGTCAGGCTCTGGGTGACATTGATTAAGATAGAAGGGAAATGAAGGGTCCCGGGGTTTGGGGGCTGGCTCAGGCTCTGGGTGACTTTGATTGAGTGGGCGGTCGAAGTGTGGGGATCATCAAAAGCTCGAAACAAAGCCCCGATCACTCCAAGACAACTAGCTAGACTAAAAACCCTTCATTTTGAAGACTTTTGCCTTTAACCTGCGCCCCTCTCCACAATCGACCACGTCTGAGGCCTGGTGCGGTGCAGTAGTAGTGCAGTAGTAGTACAGTAGTAGTACAGTAGTAGTACAGTAGTACAGTAGTACAGTAGTACAGTAGTAGTACAGTAGTACAGTAGTACAGTAGTACAGTAGTACAGTAGTACAGTAGTACAGTAGTACAGTAGTACAGTACTACAGTAGTACAGTAGTACAGTAGTACAGTAGTACAGTAGTACAGTAGTACAGTAGTAGTGGAAAAGTAGTACAGTAGTAGTACAGTAGTACAATAGTAGTACAGTAGTACAATAGTAGTACAATAGTAGTACAGTAGTAGTACAGTAGTAGTACAGTAGTAGTACAGTAGTAGTACAGTAGTAGTAGTGCAATAGGAGTACAGTAGTAGTACAGTAGTAGTACAATAGTAGTACAGTAGTAGTACAGTAGTAGTACAGTAGTACAATAGTTCAGTAGCAGTACAGTAGTACAATAGCAGTACAGTAGCAGTACAGTAGTAGTACAGTAGTAGTACAGTAGTAGTACAGTACGAAGGTTTATGAGCACCTGGAGCTCTTTAGCGGGGTTTGGGGATCACAAAAATCTGGAAAACAAAGCCCCGATCACTCCAAGACAGCTACCTAGACTAAAAACCCTTCATTTTGAAGACTTTTGCCTCCAACCTGCACCCCTCTCCACAATCGACCACGTCTGAGGCATGGTGCGGTGCAGTCGTAGTACAGTAGTAGTACAGTAGTACAATAGTTGTCACACGTTGTACCCCACTGAGGGGAGATCATTCGCACTATCCGAAGCCCTGGCTTACAAGGAAAAGGGAGCGCTTTTCATGGTAGCGGAGCTTGCTCCGGCAGCTCCAGCTAGGCCCCTTAAGTAACGGCCCGCGACGGAAGGGCAGGCAAGTTTCACCCGATAAGAGGCTTTTATTTTTTCTGCTTTTTCTGCAGTGGCTGCAATTCGATTTGCCCACTGGCAAGCACATCGAGGAGTGCGAGTTCTTTTTCTACTATCGTAAGCCCTCTCAGGGTTGATTTAGAATTGCTAAGCAGCATGATCCGTGTCTCCTTTACTGAGTCTGTCATTGCTGCTGCTAAGTTGTGGCAACCCTGGCATTTGTCCAATTTGGCTGTGTATTTGAGTTGGCGGCTTCAGCAGTCCCTCGACACCCTGCCGCCCCAGCCTGATTTTAAAATCGCACCAAATCAGAAACCCAAGCCCCATCCCGGAGGTGGCCCACGAAACAGCACCACAACCGCGAGCTGTATGGGTCCCAAATCCCAGAATCGATCCTTACTCCATGTGCTCTGCTTGTACAGAATTGCGGTCAGCGAGGGAGGTTCGATAGACGCGAGGGTAGGGGGTATAGTCACGAACCCCCCGGGAGCAGTTCACATTCCGCACTCCCCATTGCTCGCTGAAAGTGCGAAGCCACGTGACTTTGAACCAATCGGCATCCCCCCTCCCGCTCGATCCACTGCATACTCTGCCCTTAGCAAAACCGGAAAGCGAGCCTACCACAGAGCCTTGCGCAGAGCTCATATCTCTGTCTCCACAACCTACCGAGGCAAGGTCCACACCCTGCGCTCACTGGGACCCCATCATCCGACGGGCCTGTCTCAGGTTGCACCGACTCCAGCTGCCACCTCCGGCCCACGAGCTGCCGGTCCTCGGAGAGGCCCCCGCTGGAGAATTCTTTCGTACAATGTTGGAGGGCTCTCGGCGACTAAACTAGCTGAGATTGAGCAATGGCTGTGTCAGTGTCGTGATCAGCAACGAGTCATCCATGTCGTCGTGCTACAGGAAACAAGATGGACAATGAACTCTGAATGGTCCACGGCACAGCATCACGTTATTCACTCCAGCTCTGGGACCCGCAGCGATGGCATTATGATCATGATAGACAAGACTTTTGCCACCACAGGCTCCATCAGGAGCTCGGCCGTGATTCCGGGCCGCCTTCTGCAGGTTCGAATAGATCTTGAGCCGTGTCTGCACATTTTCGCGATCTACCAACACGTCTGGCGTGAGCCCTCTGCAGATCCCAAATGCCTAGCCAATCGTGAAAAGGTATGGACGTGTCTGCAATCCTCGATTCGAGGTCTTCCGTGGCGATCTCAGCTGCTTGTGGCAGGGGATTATAACACTCCGTGTGCCCTCGCACCGCCACATGCGGGAGATGGTCTCCTCCAGCCAACTGACAAGGTTAGGCAGTCTGACCAAGCCAGGCCGCATCACACTGTCCAGGCTTTCAATCTTTGTGTTCTCAACTCGTGGCAGCGCCGCAAACATGCGAGCACTTACCGTTTTATCACGGACAAGGTTCACCATGAAACACAGATAGATTTCCTCCTGTTTCGCCTCAGGGACACTGATCCTACAGCCAGAGAAGCCCGCACCATCTCAGCTCCCTTTGTGACTACGAAAGGTATGCATCATGTGCCTCTGTTGGCCTCCCTTCCCTGCCCTACTCTTCCCAAGCCGTCGACTGATGCTTCGCCCAGACTGAAACCCGGACCAATCAACCAGTGCCTTCAGTTGCACCCGGAGCTTGGTGATGCCTTTAGGGCTAGGGTAGCTGCGCTCTTGCCACTACAAACAGCAGAGGACCCAGCTCGCAGGGTCAATCAGGCTCTCAAACAGGCTTGGCTCCAACTCTCTCCCCAAACCGCTGCCTCCACCTCTGCCCTAGTCCCTGCTGTCGTCACTGACCACGAGAACCATACAAGAGGGCTAGTAAGACAAATGTGGCGTCTCCGCCAGCTAAAGGCCCAAGCACCTCGCACACACTCCGTTCTGCGAGGTTGGCTTCTGGCGGCGCGACTCTCCAGGGTTCAGCGGCTTCTACGAAAGGCCTGCAGAGCTCGCAAACGCATCAGGGTGGAAGCTATCCTGGCCGAGGCTGCTGCCTCCCCTCATGCCTCTGCCATCTTTGGTGCTATAAAGAAGCTCGCCCCGAAAGCTCGATATCAGCGAGTCCAGTTTCGTGATGAGCAGGGCTGTCTCATGTCTCCCGCCGCGGAAGCTGAACATGTAGCAGCCTTCTTCCGGGAGGTTTATAGCAGCACACATCTCGCTGCTCCCCCGAAGAGCAACCCTTTCGATGGTATGCAGTTTGAAGTCCAGGAGGTTGAGTCTGCTCTCCTTGGACTCTCGCCATCAAAAGCTTTACCTGCAAACTACGCCCCGGCAAGGCTCTGGAGAGAAGCCGCGGCATTGGCTGCACCGATCCTCCTCCCAGCAGTCAACATTCGCCAGGCGGGATTGCCAGAGGACTGGCACAAGGTTCAGGTATGCACCATTCCTAAAACTTCAATTGTGCGACTCCCTAAGCAACTACGACCTATTTCGCTTCTTCACCCTGCAGGAAAGGTTCTAGCCCATATGATTGCTCGTCGAGTCCTTCCCAAAATTGAAGCCTACCTCGAGCACACTCCTCAATGGGCGTATTTACCGGGACGGTCAACAGGGGATGCATTGGAAGCCGTCTGTGCACATCTGGCTCGCACCAGGGACCTCATTCGATCCTCTACTACGACTCTTCTGCAGCGATTTGAAGGCCAGACCTCCTCCGCCTTCTGCGGAGGTATTTCAGTAAGCCTTGACGTTCATAAAGCGTTTGACTCGTTACCGCAGGGCTGGTAGCGCGCGGGGCGGTAGCAGTTGGGGACCTGGGTCCTAGCTCCATAAACCTCATAGCGGCCGACTCGGCGGGGGTCGGGCCTTGCGTAGCGGCTGCCGCAGGCGCAGCAGGCATCGGATCAGCACTCCCCGTAGCGGTGTGATCCCTGTTAGCGGCCTCTTCTGCGGCTTGCAGGGAGGCTCTGCTAGCGGCGACCGCCTGCTGGAACTCCCGCTCGGCCGCTTCCTCCTCTTTAGCGAGCCGCTCCGCGGCCTCTTTCTTTTTCTGCTGTAGCGCGGCCTCCGCCACCTTGCGGTCGTGCTCGGCCTTCTTCTCCGTAGCCTGCTTTGCCGCAATAGCCTCGGCCTCCTTGCGGGCCTTGGCCTTGGCGGCCGTAGCGGCTGCGTTCGCAGCGGAGGCCTGCTCCATAGCGGCCTTCGTAGCTGCAGCCTGTTCGCTAGCGGCGAACCTCTGGGTGAGGCTCGGAGCCCGGCGCCCAACCACTTCCGGGTGGGCTCCTGCCGGTCTAGCGACTCAATAGCGTCTTGAGTCATAGCGACAAGCTCCTGTAGCAGGGGCTTCTCCAAGTAGCGGGGCAGCCCCTCAGCGCACTCCGAGGGCCGAAACCTTAGCGCCCTCCGCAGACCGCGGAAGGTGTCCGGCAAGTAGTCTTCCGTAGCGGGCTCATCGGCCGTAGCGGGGCCATCGGATGGCCCTTTGCCCTTGGGCTGTGTAGCTGAGGCATCGTTGCCTTTTCCTCCCATAGCTGCGCCCAGGGCACGGATAGGGTGAAACCGCTAGGAGTATCTAGCTACCGTTCGGTAGCGGAGCCGGGGCTCGCCGAGGGAAGAGGTTTAGCACTGACACTGGCTCCTGCGCCTAGCTCCTGTGCTTCCTGTTGCGTAGCATGGGCCCGGCC